TGAGGTAATGTAACTGGGCAGTGGGCGAAGTGTCTTTTGGCTGCAGATACTAGTGTTAAATACCATAGTTGCACTTGTACAAGCATAAACAAAGTGTGTGTCTCAAATGCATGAGGCTGGCAGTAGTTCACAACTTATTGTCAAGTACTTATGCTGCTTAACTGTTTCTATTAAAATAACCACACAGCTTTAGTACACTGAGAAAAACATTTGTTTTTACTTATTTCTGATAACAAAAGGGACTAAAACCTGACGCTCAAATGTGATGAAATAAGGAATCTGTCATGGAAACCATTGAGCAAAAGAACGTTCTCAGAGGCAGCTCAATAAAACTAAGTGTACAATATGGCCCACCATGAAATGATCAACGGCGTAATGAAGGAGCTAATGAGGGGGATCAAGATGGCGGCAGAACCAATAAATCAACACAACTGCATGCCGACAATGATAAGGGAGCAATAAGTAACAACGGTCAGGGAGCAGAGGGTGTGCAGGGGAAGGGGAGGGGGTGAGGAAGGGGGAGGGTAAATCTAGGGGTCGACGCTGCAAGCCAATGTCAAGAACACGTCCAGGATATTTTTTTAGCTTCTGAAAAAGAAGAGCTTTCTTTTGTAAATAAATAAAATACTTATTCTTGAACACGATAATAATATAATACAGGTAAAACTTTCAAATGAATCCATGTAAATATGGAAATTATTGAAATGAATAAAAAATCAATAGTTCTCTAAAAGAAATCAATCCTCAAGATGCCCGCTGAACTGTCTGACAATCAATAATCCCGATAGTGTAAGCATGTTGAAGGGTCAATGCTTCAGCACAGAGACATCTCACCAGCACATTGTGAAATCATTTAAAAATAAACTGACCTCACGCAGGGATAAGAAGACCATTCACCGCGCTTCTCAGTAGTGGATCAATGTTCATGAATTAAACACCCAAACGGTTTTGCCTTTGAAAGATACGGTCATCAAATAGGAACATGAAATGCAGATGGTGAAGCAGCCCAGTGACAAAGTGAGCGACGCATTATAAAAGGTTATTTAATATATATTTATCATTATAGATCCTTGTAAGGGAATAAATAACTTTAAAAAGAATGTCCTGTACTAGAATCCTACCAGTGTTCTTCCCCTTTACTATACAAATAACAAATTATATTATATGTAGTAGAAAAAAAACAATGCTTTGCAGAATACATTTATGTGATGAGCTTGTTGTTGAATGATGATTTATTGCAAGAGATTTACCTGCACATGCACTCCACTATAGGACGTGTAACTCAGTATTTCTATACCCTGCATTACTGCAGTACTTTTATAGAAGTATTCAGATCCTTTAGTTCATGAAGCACGAGGAATTATTTCCACAGGACAACAAAGAGTAAATACAAGGCCAGATGAGACTGGTCCAAGCTCTCCTCCCTGGTTTTACCAGACAATCCATCATGGTACGGTCAGCATGCATGCATGGACTGATTAACCTTTGGGGTACATACCCGGGGGCCCAAGAGGTCTGGGGTCACAAAAGAAAGAGGGGCACAAACAAACACAGTTAACAACCACAATGAGATGCACAGAACAACAACAACAACAAAGAGACACAAAGAAACAACTCATGTCTACAATCAAGGGAAAAACACAAAACAAACACGTGACTTTTTCAGACCGGATGCTTCTATTAAGGGAAGGGACTAGGCGTAGAGAGTAGAGTGGACCGGTATCAAATATTGATAACACAATAAGCCAATTCACATGGGAAACAGAACTGAGTACACAGAATAAGACTTTGCACATGCAGTATGCATTGCACATACAGTCACAAGCGCGCTGCCATGAATAGACCTCATGCATGCTAATGCCAGAGGAGGCTAATGGAGCAGACGTCCCCGTGCCTCCAGAAGCATCGGGGAGCGCCCAGGGGAGGGATTGGCAGAGTCGGGCCGGCTTATTGCACGTGGCCATGCCCACCAGGGACTCGCCTCCACACGATAGCGTAGATGATGCACCCCTTTAATACTATTAAACAGATTCACATCCCTCCTGGCAGAGCCAGATGTCGTGCCCAGTCAAACCCTCCAAATCGAGAGGAAAAGCAAACATGCATAGTAGTGCTCGGAGGTTGGAGAGCGAAAATAATAAGTGGTTATCAGTATTTGTAGAGAGAACAAATTATATCCCGTCAAGAGTTCAATTAAATGTCCAGGCCACGTATGAAAGAAATACATCATTCCTTAAATTAGAATAACAATAGGGGCCCATCTCTGCGGCGCTGCTGCATGCAGCTTAAATTGTGCCCTGTGTTTGATTTGGGACGCGACCGTTTATTTACATAATCTAAATCAAATGTAAATCGAGCCGTTTCATCTTTGTCTCCCTGGTATACGAGGGGCTAAAGTGAGTGCTCAAAAGACGTTACCCCTCAGCAGGGGGAAGACTCTTCATTGTTGAGAAATCTGGAGCGTAAGGCCTGAAGCATCTTCTTTTCAGCTAACCTTTAGAAGAAATGTTTCACCCCTGATGCCCCCCGGAAGGAGAAAGGGTCGCCATTCTGTATTTATGACACCATCCACTTAATCAGGCTGTTTTGGCCTTAATCCTTTCCTAATTAAGTGCCAGTCTGCCGGAGCAGACTGCGAAGGGCTAAAGCATGATATACCTGTCGAATCATGGGAACAGCTGGAGCAGCCTGTCCGTCAGCAGATCAGCTCCACTCGTTATCCTGCTCATTTATCGAGAGGGTAAAACACACACTCTCAACTGGTGCCCTCCCCCCGCCATCTTTATTTCTGTCTCCATTCTCGCCCAATTAGGCGCCGCCGTATGTTGAGGCTTCATATCCATGTGTGCTCCATGGTTGTCGGAAATATGGAGCCTCGTACTTTTATTTCACAGTGTGTGGGTCTAAAGTCATCTGAAAGCTTCTCTTCCTGCTGCAGAAGCCAGGAAATGGTGATATCTCTGAGCACGCATTCATTAATGAAAACCTCATCAAATTAACATTAAAATCGTTGCGAAATGCATAATTAATAAGGCAGAGCTGTTTGCCGCGAGGAGTTTAATTAATCAAACAATCAAAATGAATCATCTGCATGTGGAGGTGAAAAAGTAAAACATATCAGTGTTGCTCTGCTTTTTCTCTCTCCTTGGATTTAACTTCAAAGATGCAAAGCTGTTCTGTGGCCTCACTCTGTTCTAGATTTGTAAATATGCAGCACTGAGCCCAAAGTGTTGCTATTCGTGAACGCTGTGACCTACATAGTAACATTTACAATTCTCCTCTATGTGCATCTGCAGCTAATCAAGGCGGCCCACTTAAGCCCGTCTGCAGCTTCAGTCTGATGGCAGGCAAAATGGAGGTTCTCTAAAACATGAATAACACCACAGATTTTATATTTCTATTCATCATTGACACTTATTTGCAAACCCAAAAGTTGAATAGTTAAAGCACTGATTGCAACTCACGCAAACATGGTTAATTTAAAGCTCTCTTTACGTCCACGTCTTTGAGAGGCCTCCTGAAAGTGATCTGAATAATGTTTCCATAGTAGAGTAAATAATACATTAAGTCAAGCGCTGACGTTTGAGGCATCGCTTTGCATCTATCGCCACCTGCTGGAGACTCAGAGTTGGTGCAGGTGGGTGAATGAGCAAAACATCTGGTAGGTCCACTCCACAATTTACCCAACTCTTCACAGATGGTAACAATCTAATCTAAGGGGTTTTTAGACATGAAAAAGGAAATACTAAAATACTGTGGCAGCAGAGACCAACAGACAGAAGTTGGTCGGGGGAAGACGCTTCCAACACCTCCTTCCTGGACTATATATATATATATATATACGTAAGAGAAGTCATGAGGATCATCCTCTGCTCAGGTTTCAGTTATTCACAATTTCTGTAAAATATTTAATGATCCCTTCAAATCACAGTCATAGACATAAAAAAACGTTTTACCCTGAAAGAATAATAATTGCTCTCTTAGCTAATTGTATGAATCCAGTCCCTATAAACATTTTAGTCACTGTAACAGGGAAATGTTGGCAGCAGTGAGTCTAAACGTGTTAATATGTATCTTGTGTCTGTGAGTGTTTTTGTGTGTTTGGAGAATAAATGAAATGCAAATATTGAAGTGTATCACAATGGTAAAAAGTTAGTAAGTGATGGAAAATAATTTATGAACACATTTATGAACTTTAGGAATAAATACTTTATTTTAAGATTTCTATTTCATCATACTTGGAATTGAATGGAACATGGAATTACTGCTACATCACTGAACTCCAAAGGAAAATCACTCCACACAAATCCCCAAAAAATGCAGATGTGATCAAGTAATACAATTTGGTTCATTATTTTTATAAAGAAACTTCAGAAAAAGCGGTGTGTAAAATTGTCAAACCTGGACCAAATTATGAATTTGTTTTTGAAAACTTTTTACCGAGAACTTTTTTTACATCACATTACATTACAGGTCATTTAGCAGACGCTTTTATCCAAAGCGACTTACATTACACTTTAAACCCATGGCTTTTTACTTTTTGCCCAGGGAGCAATTAGGGGTTAGGTGTCTAGCTCCTACACTTCGACTGAGACATGGGGCAGCCGGGACTCGAACCACCAACATACACAATAAAACTTTATTATGGGAAAAGTTAACTGTGTTTGCGGTGTAATATTGGTTGTTAGTATTGTTGTGAGTTATTTTGAAATGCAGGCTCAGTACCTCCACTTTTCCTTGGACTGAGACTCAACACATCTTCCACAAGGTGGCAGGATACGCCACAAGAACTGTTCTTCAGCACCAAACATCTTTACAACGCGACGACAGACCCTTTGTGCTAAGCTCGGCTGGGATATTGTAACAGCTGGTCGGGCATGTGCTGTCTACTGTGCTAGTTTATACTGACATCATCATCGTGTTATTAGAAATAGGAGACATTTGTTATTATTCATGCTGCAAAGGTGGTTTATATCTGGAGAATTAAAAGGAGGCAATGGTGGAATTTAAAGAGATATTAAAAGGTTTATTACAACAAATTATTAAATTCAGATTTATAAACAGAACTTTCACAAGTTACAAGTACACGTTCAACACCAAACTTTTTTTAGCAGTTAAGTTGTGGTCAAACATCTATCCAAAGCGGTCATGAACTCAAGTTCAAAGCACTTTTTTAATGATATTTATCTGACCGAGACATTATTAAACAGTTTAATTCTTGCAGTTAAAAAAATGAAATTGTTCTTATAAAACTACACAGTAGTAAGCGAGTACAGACTAAGAGAAAAAGGCAAATGGACTTCATGGTTTGATTTGCGTCCAACTATTATTTCAATGATGAAATGCTCACAGGCGGTAGCAGTGTTCCTCTAATATACATGATTCCACATCCTAATGCTGTAATTTCACATGACAAAACATCGAGTCAGGAAGAACTGCTTACTGAGTTCAACAGGGCTCAGCTACTGAAACCACACTATGCTATAAAAATAAAAAAAGACACAACACCTAGAAAGATCACATAAAAGGCATCGCTGACGTTATTTACAGTGTTTTAAAAAAACGTCATTGAAGAACATAATGTCTTTCTTTATTAAAGTCATAAGCGGTCACTTAAAAAGCAGCGACAGTGTACAACAAGATACTTCCTTACTGAGAAACTATGTTTCATGAGACGTTTAATTGGAGAGAACAACTGTCGACAATCTAATCTGCATTAAAAAATGTACAGAAGTAATTCATCCAAAAACATGAATGGCACCGAACAACATTACCAAGATTGAGTAACGGAAAAGGAACTGCAATCCTACAATCACTGCTTCAGCATCAGACTACAGGCAGAATGCTAATAAAATCATTCCTAAAAAGCTCACGTCCTTAAGACAAGACAATTCACCAGCAGAGGTGAGCTCAAACATTCAAACTACCCGATGCGACTACAGCCGATCTCATCCACAGAAGAGTTGTCCGACTGAACCCTTTACATTTGTGTATTCAATTTGACTTCTTAAAAGCTGTCGGTACTTAACATGTGGACTGTGGATCTCTAAAAACCCGTCTCTCAAAAATGTGCAAAATGTTTAAAGCAAAATGTGAAAAAAAAGGGACTTCTCTTTTATTCAAGTTCATCATGAAGACAGTGCTCCTTAAAAAGTCATGAAAACAAACGAGCCAAGAAGCCACAAACAAGCAACACTCTGGTAAGACGCAACGATTCACTGATCAAACCTTCAGGCCGATTGCTTTTAAATAAAAAATAATCATAAATAAATCAGACAAACATCTTACACCTAAAGTGCCTCTTCATCAATTCCAGAGAAAACCTTTGCATTTTTCCTCAACGCATCGCCAACAGAGGACAAGACTCGAACAAATGAAAACTAACGATGAGAGAGCCCCTTTTCCTCTGAGGGAACATCAGGCACCGTGCGGGACCATCAACTCCCTGAAGGCTGAGCCCGGCTCTCCTCTGTGCTTTGGCTCGACGTGGCGGCGCTGGACGAGGCGGCGGCGGCGGCTGAGGAGGAGGAGGAGGAGGAGGAGGAGGAAGAGCTGACCCCGTTGGAGGTGCTGACGGAGCTGTGCTGGATGGCCTCGTTCTGGGGGCTGCTGGGGACGGACATCTCCTCGCAGCTCTCGTCCTTGTCGGAGACTGTGTGGGAAAAGATGACATGATGTGATGTTCGGATTGTGTTGCTCCGATTAACCCGATATAAAACTTTAAAAAAGCCTTTGGAGAGCTGCGCCACGTCGGCCTCATCAGGTGAATGCGGCGTAAGCGAATCGTTTCATTAATCCCCATAATGCTACTTTCTGCACCCCTTCCTTTAATTACAGCTCCAATGTCAATTTAAACCCACATCATAAGGGTACATTACATTCCCGGGCATGTGGCAGTGTTTCCCATCCCTAACTGCATTCTCATTTGTTTTTTGTTACCTTGCCAACTACTGCAGCGACAGATGATTACAGCACCTGATTTTAATGATGCTCACACTGGAGAGTAGGGAAGACTTGGAGTCGAAATGCCACCAGCTGTTAGGCAGTTGCATTGAATTAATTGGATCCTGATGGGGGGAGAAAAAAAAAAGGAGAAAAAGACTCTACTCTCATGCTCTGTTCCGTAAAGGAATAAAGAGCACGGTGATAATTAATATTGTTAATGATACGAAGTCACTTGTTATGCTACTTTGTAATTAATGGCGGTATTTTGCATTTCAGAATGTAAAATACAGACTCCACAGCCAGAAGAAGCCATTAAAGCGCAATACAAATGTCTGCACATTAGAGGCTTCATCTGCCTTCTTGACTGGACTTTGACCGCGTGATTTAGTGCGAGTGAATGTCAGAGCTCTATAAACTGTTTTACTACGCAGAAGGTCAGCCACGGAATAAATCAGCTCGGTGGGTTTGTTCCGTGTTCAAGTGAGCATCATCGCTCCTAACGACATTAAGGGGAGGCTGTCTGATGTACCGGAGTCCCTCGGCAGCCTGGGCTTCTTTCTGCTCTCTTGGTTTCTGAAGTGGGGTTTTTCGCTGTAAGCAGATGGGCGGCTCTGTCTGCCAAGCGAAAGCCAGTCCTGGCTTGTTTGCGGGGCAGTCTGGGCAATTTCCTCCCACCTGCCATGGCTGCGCCTGGGCAGGACAATGAAGGGTATTACCAGGCCTGCGGGGCAGTGTAACCTTTGGGGATATGGAACATAGAGAAAAGGGGGGGACGAGGGGGGAGTGTTTATGAGGCCTTTACATGAGTGAGAGCCACGGATCAGTCACAATTAAATCCTTGCGCTTTGCTAATTAGCAAGATCGATTAATTCAGTGAACCCCGAGCAGGGTCACCTGTGCCTCGGGGCGTATTTAAACAATTGCCAGGGGATACGTGGAGATGTAACTTGAAAGTATTACATTGGCTGTTACACCTGAGCACACTAAGATGTAAAGTGCACCTAAAGTTATCAGGCAAGCAGCGACATTTAAACATTTAGTTCAGTAATGACTAGATGGCTGAAATAGAGGCTTACAGTGAGAGTGATGAATAATACGTCAAATGTACCGTAGAAATGGATGGTTTGAGCAAACTACTTCACAAAGCAGAAGGGAATAGAGCTTAAATATTTAGCTAGAGGCCAAGTGGAAAGAGTTAGCGGATAATGGATCAACAGTGAAAGCTCTGTGGTCGTATTGTTATTTTGCTTTGTTATTCTCCTGGACGTTTTATTCACCGAATGACTCGCCTGAAACCCCCCCCCCCTCATTAGGCAAACTGATAAACTAGGGTATTTGGATGGAAGCTCCATCTTCCCAAGAAGGGTAAAACGCGCTCAAAATGTCATCCTTCACAAAAGGTCTAAAAACACGGGCCAGACATCCAAACGCAAGGAGAAAGATGACCCAATTCATCCGCCGATCTTTCTGAAAAACAAACCAGGCGACAGCAAATGAGACCCGGCTGTGACAGCCCTCTCTCGCCTGGAAGCCAGCGGCCCCGTAATGCACGTGACGTGTGTCAGTGGGACGGTCGGCAATAAAGGGACGCGTAATGAACAGCCGGGCTCGGCGGACGCGCCGCCACGAGAAGGCTCTGCGGTCTTGTCAGGCTGGCTGCTTTAATGGACTCATTTCAGAGGCAATCATTGTCAATACAAGTCAGCGGAAGGTGGTCGGGGCACAGCGGAGAAGCGGCGACTTTGTTCCCGTCGCATGCCGACTATCTGTGGAGGGAAAGGTGAGTTATGAGCGGATGAATGACAGAGCCGTGGTCGCTGGAAAGGAAGAAACACCCGTGACACGAGTCTAAATGAGAGGCTACAAACGGCAGAACCTGCTCTTCTATTCAAACCGTAACGACGGTTTCTGGGTAGAAAAAAGATTTCTTGACAGTCAAAGCATTTGGTGGCTCAGATTCCGTCCTGCAGACAGCTGGTTTCGTCTGATAAAAATGTATTTAGGTGTCAAATGAGGAGGAGACGATTGGTTTTCTTGGGGACGCCACCTGTGGCCCCCTTTAAAGGACGCCAGGGAGAAAGACGTCTACTACACTGCCCATAAATATCTTAACTTTTGCAAAGTTTTCTTTTTTTTTCATTGTCTAAATGGAATCTAATATGTCAGCAGCCATAAGTAAGACATGTCCTTCCGCTGGTTAGCCGGAGCTCATCTTGGAAGGCTTTCACCGGAGGCCTCGGGCTGAGAATAATGGAGCGTTACTCACTGTGATAGCCAGACTTCTTCTGCATGGCGGTTACAGGGCAATCTTTATGAGCCAGAAGAAGCTGCTTCAGCTGAGCCACTTCGTTTCTCAGCAGGGTGACTTCATTCTTTGAGAGAGAGGAGACACACAACAGCCCTCGATAAAGCATGAAGTACATTAGTTTACAATTTAAGTGACAAAAAGACAAAATGTGCACATGTTTAAATCTTATACATTATTTTACAAAACCAGATAACACCGAAAAGTCGGGCAACAATTAAACACCAAAAGGTGTTTTTTTTACATAGACACATGCAACACAAACATTTTGATAAGGAACAAGATTTCTTTTGAAAAAATACTGACAATGACATTTACTGAGTGGTGAATTTGTGTTGGTTGTGTTGGTCCCCACTGGGGGATAAACTATGTGACGGTGACACTTCTTCTACATGATCCCAAACATGTCCTGATACTATAGTACTTTTCTTGTTACCTTCAGAACATCAGATCTGAACCCCAAATCTGATTCACAGTATATGGATCAAAAGGGTTAAATTCTCCTGACCTCCTTCGTACGTGGGACCTAAATGACCACACAGCAGATAAACTCGATCTAACACTTCTTCATTACCTTTTTTCCTGCCCAATAATTATGAGCCTTCACCGTCTACCGACCAGCACGTTTGTCGGAGGTGAGCTGTTCGGATTGTCAGTGCAACCAGGCGGATGCATCCAGATTTACACTCTTGTGTCATTACAGCTCCCCGGGGTGCTGAGGATTTCTGCATGTCGTAAACGAGGGCCACATTACGCTGAAGGTGACTTTAACTGGATTTAGAGCGGCGGAGGCCAGCAGAACACCCAGTGGCAAATTTAAGCTCCTTCTCTTTTCCCTCTAAAAAAGGACTATGTGCAGCTTAATCTATTGAAAGCAGCCAATTCATTTGGTTCCATCAGGTTGGTATTGCTGGTGTTGGCTGAGCTATTTAAACACAGCTGGTGGGAGCTTTTGCATCACAAGTAGCTAAAGCCATGAATACACGGTTTCCGGTATGAACACTTTCCTTTTAATCTCTTTATAATTCTGATACAAGATGCAGAGGAAATAAACATCAGAAATGTTTTACATGCATTGCAAAATGAGAATTCCTTAAAAAAGAATTTAGTTATAATAAAAACTCATTTTGCAGCTCGGCAGAGAACGCAGTGTTTGGTTGAAGCGTATCAGTAATGCAGCCATTGAAGCTGGAACGGTGAGGTCACAGTGTGTATTACCTGGAATGTTAAACAGGACTCAGAGAGTTAAACCTTCTTCTAACTTTGAGAATTAATCAAAATTGAGCAAATGGGCCTCGGGTGATGCTGCGAGCTCTGTGAGCTGCCTGGTCTGACATCTCATTAAAAAGCCAGTTAAGGATGATGTTAAAATAATTGTGCATCATTAAAGGCAGTTCCACTGATCAGCTGGGTCATGTCAGCATCTCTTTTTTTCTTACAAAAATGGCATTGCTGATTAATGCCTTCATATAATATGGCCTTTTATTTTCTGCCCCACGTTGATCCTTTTTTTGTACATTTAAAACCTCATCCTCTCACCGGATCTTCATACTTTCAAATACAATTTCACAAGGCACCCTCACGACAGGTGTTTTCGGAACCACATGTTAGCGACATGAGCCTAATTCTTCATATTGCTGCCTTTCCCCTCCTCCACATTCCACATCTTACTCTGCTTTCACAGAGAAATAAGACGGTGAGCAAATAAACACCGCATCTCATTTAATTGTCTGGAACACCGATGGGCCGCCCCCCCGGCTCACACTTATCAACAGAGACAGCAGACACATGAACTGTTTCGAACTTGTCAGCATTAGATCCTAATTGCTTCCAGCGAAATGAAGGTTCAAAAAGACACCTTTCCCTAGGAGAATTTTTGAGGCCATCCAGTAAACTGCTGAGACAGAAGCGAAGACATGCTTGTGCGCGGCTGACATCTGGAGGATACATCTTTATTGACAGGGACGTATCGATGTGGAGGGCTCACACGCCGCTGCTGTCACGCGGCAGCTCTTCTTAATCGCCTTTAATGACTTCATCACCACAGAAGGGAAAAGCCTGTGCACGCGCGCCCACGACAACAACACATGGTGATAAACATGGTGATAAACGCGCGCGCACCAACACACAGACCCACATGATGCATTAGGGTGCAAAACAAAGCCGGGAGCCGGCAGCTGCTGTTGCCGCATGCAGTGGCTGAGGGGAGGAGGCAAAGAGCACCTGTAGTTGTCCGTTCATGGAGTTGAGGTCTTCAGACTTCTTCTCCAGAGACTGAACCCACACTTTCCTCTTCTGCCTGCAGCGAGAGGCCGCCGCCCTGTTGCGCTCCAGAAACTTGCGCCTCTTCTCGTCGGGGTTTTCGCTGGTGGTTCTGCGCCGCCGCCCCCCTGTGCTTGGGGGGTTCGGCGCAGCGGGTGCTGGAGATGCCTGAACAACGACCACAACAATAATAATAAAACTAAACAACAACTGTAAAACAAAAGCACTGCTACACATGTCATACATAAGTCATACATTTAATTTAAAAAAAATAGAGGGAATCAAATCTAACACCTGCAACCCAATGCTTTTGTGTTCATAAACAGTTTCATAAGAACTTTGTTTAAATAAATAGGTTTTTACTTGAACAAATAGTTTGACAACAAAAAACAAAAAAAACTGTATGTAAATAAAGAATGACTGATGCCATCTATCGCTAGTATATAACGGACATTACAGGAACACAATGGTCAAAGCCCAGAACTCCTAACGCACAACATGTAGCCCTG